GGGCGCTCATAACCTGTAGAACTCTGTAAAGAGCTCAGGAATTCGAATTGCACTTCTTGGTAGTCCAGGATTTATGCAGATAGACTGCACCCGAAACCATCAATCACGAGAGGCTCTAACTTTTGCGTCTGCCACGGCACAAGATCTGTGATCTATGCTCTGTCTTGTCCTTATTGAATTTCTTGCCTGCAGCTTCGGTCGCTCGCCTTGAGCACTCTCATATGCTGCATAAACAAAGTGCGGCTGGTCTTCACAACGGATCTGAACATGTTATGTGGTTATCCAGCAAACTCAAGAACTTATTATACAACGGGCGGCTTGTGGATTTCTGCAACCCAATACCCCAAACCCTAAACCCCAACCCAATACTCAAAACCCTCAACCCTAAACCCAATACTCAAAACCCTCAACCCTAAACCCAATACTCAAAACCCTCAACCCTAAACCCTATACCCCAAACCCTAAACCCTAAACCCTAAACCCAATACTCAAAACCCTAAACATCTCGAAACCCACAATCCCGAGCAGAGCCGAGGCACTTAGAACCTCTTCGGCTGCTCGCGCAGCCGCAGATGCAGCAGCGGCGCTGCGCCGGGCCTTGCAACTTAGGGCTTTGGGTAAAAAGCTTAGGGCTTTAGGGTTTAGGGGTTTAGGGTTTAGGGTTTAGGGTTTAGGGTCAAAAGCTTAATCTGGGAACCTGATTAAGAAACCTTGGGTCTTTATTAGGGCTCCTTCTACGAATCCTAATATTTTGGGGGATTATAGGGCCAGGGTTTCTTAATCAGGTTCCTACATGTAGGACCCTGATTAAGAAACCCTGGCCCCTATGACCCCCAAATAGTAGGATTCATATTAAGAACCCTTAATAAAGGCCCAGGGTTTCTTACTCAGGTTCCCAGATTAAGCTTTTTACCCAAAACTCAAAACCCTAAACCCTAAACCCTAAACTACATCAGGCTTTAGGGTCGCGGGGTTTGCGGGGTACGATCTCGGACAGGGTGGTTGAAACTTGAGCTCGGGATAGTGGGTCATTGATGGCTTGGGGCCTTGGGGTTTAGGGTTTTGGGTTTAGGGTTTAGGGGTGTTGGGTCATTACTGGCTTGGGGCCTTGGGGTTTAGGGTTTAGGGTTTGGGGTTTCGGGTTGAGGGTTTAGGGGTGTTGGGTCATTACTGGCTTGGGGTTCGTGCCTTCCCTTTCGCAGCTCGACTCGAGGGCTGGAAGCGTGACATGATCAGCGGATGGTGTGGAATACTGTGCGTTGAGGAAAGATGTCATAAGCGTGATACGGATGGTGGACAGGGCGCAACCATCCACAAACGCGACCGCCACAGTGATATGACGTACGCACAGCCCCAACCGCGAATCGGAAAGAACAGCCCGACTGTGCAGGGCAGAGCCGAGGTGCGTGGTATGCCGCTCGCTCGGCTCGAATCTGCTCCTGTCACAGCATCGAGCAGCGATAGCCATCATGAGCGTATCAAGAAGAAGAAGAAGACAGTGGCATGATTATTGCTAGTAGTGTCACTACTATTAATAATGTTCGTATTATGATCACGACGACTCTGCCACTACCCCCAACAGGACGACGACCACGACGATTGCGATCAGGACGACAAAATCAACAATAATGACGTTACTGGCTGTGCATGAGAAGAACTATCCCGAAAATCATTCTGGCCGTGGGGGAAGGTTACCCCAAACCCCAGACCCGAACCCCTAAACCGATAAGCCAAAGCCCTATGCTCTGAAGTCCTTGTCCCTCGTCCCAACGTTCCTCCACTTCAGCCCTGAAAGACCATGCGTGAAGCTGCGCAGAAGCCTACAAATCCACCCAGGCCTGAACCAAAACAACTGATCATGAAAGGCCTAAACCCTAAGCCAGAAACCCTGCATTCATAATGCTAGACCCTCGACCCCTACACTAGTAACCCTTCTCGGAACGAACGCCTAATAACCCTTGTAACCCTGATGTTGCCTTCTAAGAACCCTCCACCCCTTTGTCCTCTCGGTTTAACTCACCGGACTTGGCAGACACAATGTCTTTGGCCTTCGTCCGATTTCGGGTTGAGGGGGGAGGCCCGGACACGGGGCCTGATCATACATAATATATCATATGGTAGAATGCTCTCTTATATTGCACGAAATTACAGCATGTTTTTGTGTATAGTTATAGTATAATTCTGTCATATGATATTGGCTGCACAATCTGTATGGATTCTTTTTTGGCCTCTAGCCACGTCTACAATCTTTCCTGGGACTTCGGGTGACGCAGGTTTCAATCCTTGCGCCTTCAAGCCCTAAAACCCTAAAACCCTAAACCCTAAACCCTAAACCCTAAACCCTAAACCCTAAACCCTAAACCCTGCAGGTGAAATCACCTGGCTGCGCCGTCACTAGCGCGACTCTGCAGCTTTGGAAGTCAAGGCACCAGAAAAGAGTGCTCAGGGATACGATTAGCTCTGCTGTGCCGAGCCATAGATTACTCCCGTTGCTCTCCCAGCCTGTCTACTGCCGAAACCGCTTGGGCATCATCACGACCGTGCAGGTGGCCTCTACCACTTGCATGGTAGCGGAGCCGAAAGCTCCAGCACCTTAGAGCCGCGATCCAGGGACCAGTGAACATCAAGCGCGAGGCCCTTGATGACTACGAGTGGAGGAGGAGACGGACCAGCACGGTCAAAGGATGGAGTTCCCCAGTGGGACGGCAACAGCGCTACTTTCCAGAGATACGAGGAAGAAGCGCTGCTATGGCAGGAAGGGATTGCTTACCACAAGAGGTACATGGCGGGGCCACGACTGGTGGCTGAGCTCCAGGGCTCGGCAAAGCGGATGGTCGTGGGCAAATCGGCAAGCTGGGTTTCCTACTCAGGGGGCGTGGAAGTCCTCATGAGGCATCTCCGTGACTGCCTCGGGAGACCACAGGTTGCGGAATTGACTGAGTACCTCAATCAATATTTCCGGCATTCACGGCGCCGGAATGGTGAGTCAATCAATGAGTACGTGACCCGGAAGAGCGAGATCTATATGAGAGCGCAGCAGGCCCTTCACCGGGTCAAGCCACACCAGGAGCCCGCAACCTACCGTGTATCCCGCGAAGCCGGGTACCCGGGACACCGTCGCAGCAGCTGGACTTCGGAGACCACGACCACAGCAGCAGATGGAGACGAGGACGAGCCCGAAGCCTCAACAGAAAACACCCAAAACCCGAGTTGGGATGCTAGCAGCTCCTACAGCGGATGGGGTGGTATGGGAGGCTACTGGAATGGAGCCCCGTACTCCAACTGGTGGTCATCGTCTACGTGGAACTGGGCGGATAGCCGGTCCTATGGCGAAGCAGGAGCCACACCCGGCCTGTGGAATGGCCCCGTGGCGGGACAGACGGAGCTCCTGCCAGAGTGGGTACAGGCCTGGTACCTGTTACAGGATGCCAACCTTAGCACCGGAGAGCGCAACATGATCTTCACAGCACTGAAGGGGGAATTCAGTGTCTTGAAAGTGGCTCAGGAGCTGAGGAACCAGTGGACGGAGACGGATCTCAAGAAGAGGGACCAGCACTATAAGGGCTCAGGCTTCCTAGGCGAGGCCGGTGAGGACGAGGACAACGAGCAGCAGGAGGCCTGGCAGGCGGGCGAGCACAGCGAGTACGATGCGGACTTGAATGACGAGGGTGCCGCCCTCGTCGCGGAGGCCGAGGACGAAGCTCGCCAAGCGTGGGCCACCCTGCAGACAGCAAAGCGCACCTTGAAGGATGCACGACAGCGCCAACATCAGGTCCGGATGTCCAGGAAGTACTACCAGAGCGGTGGCAGCAGCTCTCAGACCGGACCTCGGCCACGGGATGACTCGAGAATGACATGTCTCAAGTGTGGCCAGATAGGCCACAGGGCGGCTAACTGTCCGCAAGAGAAAGCACATGTGGCCGAGGACCAGTCGGCGCCATTCGTCTGTTTCGCGGAACAGGCGCTCCTTGGTGGCCAGGAGAGCGGCGGTCATGTTCCCACCACGACAGAGGCTGTACAGGCCGGGTGGGGCGTCATCGATGGGGGCGCGACGCGCACCTTGGGATCGGTCAAGGCCATCGAGGCGGTCATGAAGGTCAATGAGGGCAAGCACGGGACAACTGGGGTCAAGAACGTGGACCTCAAGAACCGTCCTGTGTTTGGTTTTGCGGACTCCGGTGAAGCCAAGTGTGTGTCAACAATCGACTTGGGACTCCAGGCGGGAAGCCATGAGGGAATGCTCAGAGTGCACGCCCTCAACAAGGGCTCGGGGCCCATACTGGTTTCCGTGGCCACACTCAGGGCACTTGGAGCAATCATTGACTTTGAGGAGGACATCTTGGTCTTGCGAAAGCTCGACCCGACGAAGCTAATCCCCCTCCAGCGATCGACCACAGGCCATCAGCTCGTCAACCTCACCGACGATCTTTTCCGAGAGGCGACGCCGGCTAAAACAGCCGTTCCATCTCTGCGCTCGTACATAGCTTCGTCCGAGTAGGGAGATGACCCCTTGTTGACCAATCCGGATGGGAAACGAGGGGACCGAGTTTTTTCCGGAAAGGGTAGGTGTGCCAAAGCGCCCGTAGAGCCTCCTCTAGAACGAAGGGGTGAGGGTGTGTTTGGTTTGGGGTTTAGTAGGGGAGTTAGTTTTTCCAGTGAACCAGTGGATGCACAGAAGCCTCTACAGCAGCCTGAACCTCCGGAGACAGCCGTAGGCCAAGGTTCCAATGAGGAGATGAGTGATTCAGCAACAACCGCGCAGCAGTGTCGTGATCTCAGTGACCATAGTGGCGATCCTTCAGGCCCTTCCGTTCCCCATGCCGGCCATGGAGAAGATGAACGCCAAACAGCTGCGCGAGGCCATCGGCACCTTCGGCGAGATCCCAGCAGAGAGTTGGAACAATTCTCAGCTACGACACCGGCTGCAGGAGCTCATGACCGAACAAGAGGAGGAATGGGCCAACCCGGCCCGACGCAGCAAGGACACGCCCTTGCAGCAGCAGATCAAGCAGCTCAATCGGAACAAGCGCAAGAAGGCAGATCTGCAGGAGTATGTCGCCAAGGTGTTGGGACTGACCGTGAGCGAGAACGAAACGATGATGCAGCTCGAGACGAAGGCCCTCGACCACCTCTATGCCAATGTCGAGAGCTGCGGCCGCGACGCGGTCGGATTTGGGCGCCATGCAAGCTTGACCTATGCCGAGCTGGTGCAGCAGTACCCCCGCTACACGGAGTGGGTCAAGGCAACCCACAAGGAGACCGACGAGACAAATCCGAGACTCAAGCGGTTGGCGGCATGGTTGCTGCGAGCTACAGATGTGAGCGAGGCGGTACAGTGCCCGCCATGGGCACTGCAGAGTCCCCCATGGGAGAAGGACCCGCAACGGCTACGGTTGAAGATCAAGGGCGGCTACTTGGTGGAGCCAGAGGCCGAGACCCCGCAGACGGCATCGACATCATCCGCCGGAGCACCGCCCTATCCAGCTCAGCAGATGGAGTTGATGACAACCATGATGGAGACCATGAAGGGCATGCAAGAAGACATCAAGGAGCTCCGGCAGATGAGCCACTCGGCGGACGAGCGGCCCCGGAAGAAGGACAAGTGAGCGATGCGGGACTACGGCACCGTATGAGCTACAGTATGAGTACCTCCCCGAACCCATCGGCTACAGGTTCTAATAGTCGGGATCTTAGCCAGGAAGAGGTGCGACACTTAGAACAGCAGGCTCACAGCTTAGTCCCAGGGTTGATGCAGCAGCTTGTGGCCAGCGATGGGCTCGGGGGGGAACGCCCCGTGCTAATGGAGGTTGCGTGTAGCCCGAACAGTCCTTTGACGAAAGCCGTACAAGCTGTTACTGGTCGTCCCCAATCAGCCGTTCGTTGTGCTTTGTGGAATTCCGGAGATCTAAGTACCATGGAAGGGTTGCGATTTGTGATGGATAGGATTCGGTTGGAACAACCCCAGAACGTGTGGATCAACCTCCCAAGCACGGCTTTTTCTCCGATGCAAACCGTGAATCAGCGCACTGAGGCCCAGAAGGAACAGCTGAAGAAGTACCGTAGGGAAACTATGAAGGTGTATGTTGGAGCCTGTTGTGTTTTTCACATGTGTATTCAACTGGGTATCCACTGCACCCTGGGCCTGCCAGAGCGATGTGAAGCATGGCGACTGCCACTGTTCCAGAGTCTGCAGCAACGCTACGGGTTGAGAGTTTCAGTGGCTAAGGGTTGTCAATTGGGACTTCGGGAAAAGGTTGAGGGCAGGTTGCTTCAGTGGGGTTGGAAGGTGATGTCTAGTCACAAACGTCTTGTGGAACAGCTGGATCTTCCGTGTCGCTGCGGTAAAAGCTACCAGCATGGCCGTTGCGAAGGACACCGCAACCCAGGTAATGTAGACTACACCGAAGCCTACGCACACCGCGCGGCAGAAAGTCTGAGCCAGGAGTTCAGTTACAGCTCGTTGCTCCAGGAGAGTGAGGGGCAGAGCGCTCTGCCCGAGGACTTTGGAATAGGCGAGGTTTGTACCTGTGGGGAGAGTAAGATCCAGGATTTCCACATGACTTGCAACAACTGTATCAGTGGTAGGGAAGAGTTAAGAGACCAAGAACCCGAGGCCACAGTCCCCAACACAACACAAGGTCCCGAGCCCCAGGAGTCGAAAGAGCAAAGCATGTATACACAAGGTGAAAGGCAACAGGTGGAGGAAGTAGCCGGGCAGCTCATGAAAAAGAAGATGTATGCCATTCAAGATATTCAACCCTTGCTGGAAGTGATGTCTAAACTTCGCATTGGTAGGACACGCGGCATGGTCCCAGGGACTCAAGGCTCCTATCATGCGTTTGGAATGTATTCACACGGCAGGAATTATGGCATTACCAACAAAACTCATGAGTTTCCTCAGGTCACTGCTTATGTGAACCAATGGCTTCGTAGGAACCTCCCCAAGGGAGCCAAGTGGACGTCCTTTGTTCTCAGTGCTAACAACAGAATGCCTGTTCATCGGGACAACCACAACGACGCGAGTCATAGCAACCATGTAATCGGGGTAGGCCAATACAAAGGAGGCGAGTTATGGGTGGAAACCCCACCCGGGTACTCGGGCCTTGACGCCTGCGCTCAGGAGTCACTGGATGGCACGGTCCTACAAGGACGAAAGCTACCAACCCTGGGCCAGTGCGTCACCTTCTCTCCGAAGGCCTGGCACGGGACGTGTGAGTGGACAGGCGACCGCTACACGGTAGCAGCGTACGTAAGCCGAGGCGGTAGAGTGGTTGAAGATGAGTTGCTTGGGGAACTTCGGTCGGTTGGGTTTGGATGTCCTGAGGGTCCTTCGGAAGGGCTTGAGCAGGGTTTGGTGATTCAGAGGACGGGACAGTGGAAGCGTGCTCTAGGAGGTGTGGATAAGCGGTTTGATGAACGTATCAAGAAACAACTGTATCTTCTACACGCGGCTACGGGACATGGGAGCACACGACATCTGGTGGATGCCTTGCGCCGAAGAGGAGCTTCAAACAGGGTTTTGGCCTTAGCAAGGGAGTTTCAGTGTTCAGTGTGTCATGAGAAGCGTCGCGTAGGTCATCGCCACATGTCCACCCTGGAACCACTTCCCCCAAGATGGAGCACCATTTCCGCCGATGTGGGACACTGGGTGCACCCTCAAACCCATGAGAAGGTTCAGTTTATGGTGATTGTGGATGAGTGTTCCAGGTTTAGGGCTGCGAGAATTCTGACGACAGGGTCGAAACAACAACCAACTGCTATGGCGTGTCTCAACTATCTTCAGGAAGGTTGGATGCAGTATTTCGGGAAGCCCCAGGTTCTTAGGCTTGATCCTGCAGGGTCCTTCCGAAGCCAGCATGTGGAAAGCTTTTGTGATAGGCACAAGATTTTCCTGGAGATTATCCCCGGTGAAGCCCATTGGAAACTGGGGATCTGTGAACAGGCTGTTCAGGGATTGAAGGAAGTTATGACGAAGACGTGTTTGGGGGAAGAGGGCATTAACCCTGAAGAAGCACTTGCCACGGCAGTCATGACGTTCAATCATCGGGATATTGTCCGAGGGTTCTCTCCTGTGCAGCATGCGCTTGGCCACAACCCCGATCAAGTAGGTCCTGTGATGGAAGTGATTAACCAGGCCCCCGTGTCCATGTTGTGGGAAGACCCCCAAGGTGAGGTGGAACGGGCCTCAAGATTAAGAGCGGCGGCAGAGGGCGCGCATGCATCTTGGATCGCACGCCAGCGAATTGTACGGGCTCAAAACTCCAAGGGCCAACCGGTTCTTGATTTTCAACCGGGTGAGTTAGTGTATCTATGGAGAGCACAGACGGGTCAGCAGGGTCGCCGACAACCGGGCGACAAACATGGCCAGTTCATAGGCCCAGCGAGGATCCTGGCCACGGAAAAGAAGAAGGATGAGTCTGGACACTTGGTGCCCGGAAGTTCAGTGTGGCTCGTCCGAGGGAGGAGCTTGATTAAGTGCTGCCCGGAACAACTGCGGAGGGCCTCTCAGAGGGAGGAGCTCCTGGAGATGCTCGCGAAGCCAGAGGACCGAACGCCCTGGTCGTTCCAAAGAGTTGCGGCGGAGATCGGCGGCAACCAGGTCAAAGACTACTCCCAGCAACGCCCCACGCCACCAGAGTGGCATGGAGCACAAGATGTGGAAGAGACAGCGCCGCCTACGCGAGTCCGATTTCGAGGCAAGAGGGCCCAACCGGAAGCCATGGCAGAGCCTATGGAGGAGGACGAGGAGCACCGCTCACCGGCCTCAGCAAGCTCAAGCAGAGCTCGGCTGGAAGGTGCACAGGGCAGTGGTTTCCAAGCGGCGGAAGCCTGGTGGGCATCCGTGCCGGACCGGGAGTGGGAGCCAAAGCCAGCGGCTTACTGGAACGACGAGGACGCAGCAGTTTCCGTGGAGATTGAGCTTCCCACCAACGTGAGAGGACTGCAGAAGACACTACACCAGCTGCCCTCCTACTTTGTGGGAGCCATGAAGCGAAGGGCAATTGAGGTCTGTGAGCGAAAACTGTCGCCGACCCAGAAGGAGGAGTTCAGAGCGGCAAAGAACATCGAGGTCCGCAATTTTATAGCATCAAAGGCCTTCGAAGTGCTCCCAGAGGAGTTAAAGCCAAGTCGGGAGCAAGCCATCAATATGAGGTGGATACTAACTTGGAAGTCCACCGATTCCGGTGGCCAGAAGGCTAAAGCAAGAGCTGTGCTATTAGGGTACCAAGACCCTAAATACGAACACCGATCGACCACAGCTCCCGTGATGACGCGTCAGACGCGTCAAATGCAATTGCAATTGTCCACCAACCGCGGCTGGACGGTGCAAAAAGGAGACGTGTCTGGAGCGTTTTTACAAGGCCGAGAATACCCAGACCAGCTGTTTTGCATTCCGTGCAAAGAAATCTGCGAAGCCATGGGGTTGCCAGAGGGAACTATCACCCGCCTCCGGCGTGCCTGCTACGGACTTGTAGACGCACCACTGGAATGGTACAGAACCGTGGACGAGTACTTAGTCGAGTTGGGACTCGAGCGGACGCATGCCGACGCGTGCGCATGGGTCTGGCGTCCCAATGGAAAACTACGAGGCATGATATCAGGCCACGTCGACGACTTCTTGTTTAGCGGAGGGGCTGAGGACGCCGACTGGCAAGCCTTGTTAGAAAAGATTCGCCAACGGTTCAAGTGGGGAGACTGGGATCAAGACAAGTTTGTGCAGTGTGGCGTGCATGTTGAGCGGACTTCAGAGGGTTTCTTACTGAGTCAGCCGACGTATTTGGAAGGGGTTAAAGAGATTCCACTTTCTTCCAGTCGCCGAAAGATGAAGGATGCTGCTACTGGGGAGCGAGAAAAGACACAGTTGAGAGCCCTTCTAGGTGGCCTCTCATGGCACGCCCAACAAGTAGCACCACACTTGTCTGCTGAAGTAAGCCTCCTGCTCTCAGAAATCTCCGAGAGCAATGTCAATACGATCATCAAAGCTAACCTTCTGGCCCATCACGCAAAAGCCCGCCAGGACCATCAGATGTTGATACACCGTTTCTCAGCTGAGGAACCGTTGGCATTGTTTGGCTGGGTGGACGCGGCGAGCCAGAACCGCCGCGAAGGTGGATCGACTCAAGGGATTTTTATAGGCATGGGCCCTGCGAACATGTTGCAGGGTGAGATGGGACGTGTGACACCCATTGCATGGCACTCCAATAAGATAGACAGGGCTTGTAGATCACCAGGTGCGGCAGAGGCACAAGCAGCTGTTAACGGGGAAGATGCATTATATTTTGCCCGTTACCAATGGAGTGAGTTGTGTTTTGGGAATGTGAATCTGCGTCATCCCGACGAGACGGTTGCCAAGGTCACTGGATGTCTGGTGACAGACTCCAGAAACGTTTATGATAAGTTGTACACTGAGGTGCTTGTCATAAAAGGGGCGGAAAAGCGCACCAACATTGAGTTGTTGGCCATCAAGGAAGCTCAAAGGAACCACGGGGTGCTCATCCGCTGGGTACATTCAGAAGCACAACTAGCCAACGCGCTCACGAAGCATGGCAGTAAGGAGCTGGAACTGTACTACCGTATGCGCCACGCCTGGCGCATCGTGGAGGACCCCAACATGATGTCTGCTCGGAGGAGGAAG